CCGGCCGTGACGGAGACGTTCCAGCTGGCGGAGGGCAGCTGGTTGTGGGCGGCCGGCCGCCTCTCCGAACGTCAGCTGGTGGAAGCCGGCGACCGCGGCGTATGGGGCCGCATCACCTTCTGCGTGGGCGGCGCCGGGCTGCGGCGGCGCCAGTGCTCGGACGGCGGCCGGCTCGGCCGCTGGGAGACGGCCGTCTACCCGCCGGGGCTGGTGTGCGACACGTACCGGCCGCTGGCGGGCGCGCGCGGCTCGCTGCGCCTCGAGCTGCGGCTTGACGGCACCGTGTTCGCCGGCCAGCCAGCCGTGGTAGTGCTGCTTCACGGCCGCGGCGGCGCGCCGACCATACCAGGTCAGCTGACACCCACGCTCAGCGGCTTGACATTGGAGGCCGGCGCCTGGGTGCGCGCCACGCTCGTGCTACGCGAATTCCGACGCGTCTCCACGCGCCGCTCGCCCTGCCAGCCCGACCCCAACTACGACCAGATCCAGGTTAGATGTCCGGCCGATGTCGCAGGGATGTGGACCGAGCTGCAGTTCTTTGTGAAGCTGGTTGTGTCCTCCAAAACAGCCCTACTCGCCGTTTTTGGCGTGCGATTCTGGCGTCCATGTTCGTTCCGGTTGTTCCGCTTCCATCTTTGGGCAGGGGGCGCTCGCTGATTTGGAATGGTCGTCACGTTGCGAACGTCACGGTGTTGCGACACGTAGATACTCGGAGCGCCCGGCCAGACTGGTGTCGCCTGCTGTCGTCGCCGCCGCCGGTGTGCGGCGTCTGAGCCCGTCGCTGAGATGCGGTCGCCGTTGCAGTGCTGGTCCGACTGCCGTTGGCGGCGAGCAGCCACCAAGACGGGCTGCCGCGGCGCCTGGCAGCAGCTATCGTCGCTCTCCGTCTGCGACTCGCTGGCGGCGCTGCGCCGTCTGCACAGTGCGCTGCTGGCCACGACCACGGCACGCTGTCACTGCCTGCGGCCCTGCTTGCTGCGCAACTTCTTGGTGCTGAACCGACGCGACGACCGGCACCCGGCGGCGCCCAACGCCTCACTCCACCTGTTGGTCGATTCCTCCAAACAGCAGGTGCAGGAGTTCATCGGCCTGGACAGCGGTGACCTGATCTCGGACCTGGGCGGCACCATCAGCATCCTGCTGGGCCTCTCGCTGTTCGGTGTGATCCGCGCCGGCGAGCGGGCGCTGCACCGGCTGGTCATCTGGCGGCGCACATGGTCGCTGCCCGTCTCTGCTCCGGCCCCGCTCTCGCCCGAAGACCAGGCCAAGTCTGGCAGCGGCCCGTCCAGCGCCTAGGGCGGACACGGCGTCGCCGCTCGCGCGCCGAGTGCCGGCCTTCGAACGCCGGTGCCGGTTCAGTGCCTAGGGCGGACACGGCGTCGCCGCTCGCGCGCCGAGTGCCGGCCTTCGAACGCCGGTGCCGGTCCAGTGCCTAGGGCGGACACGGCGTCGCCACTCGCGCGCCGGGTGCCGGCATTCGAACGCCGGTGTCGGTCCAGTGCCTAGGGCGGACACGGCGTCGCCGCTCGCGCGCTGAGTGCCGGCCTTCGAACGCCGGTGCCGGTCCAGTGCCTAGGGCGGACACGGCGTCGCCGCTCGCGCGCCGAGTGCCGGCCTTCCAACGCCGGTGCCAACAGCGGGGCGCCGAGGCTCCGGGCCGTTCGCGCTCTCAGTCGTTCCACCCGAAGCATCACTCTGTCGTTGATGTCGACCATGAGTATTTTTAAGCGGTACAACATCGGCACGTATTGTTCAGGCTTGCGGATGTGCTCGCGAGTTTGTTGCGTTATTCCGATTGTGGACACCGGGCGAAGTGGGGACTTGTGAAGAAAGCTTAGACGAGTTGTCTCTCTTTCGCGATTTTCGACAAGCACGTACGGCTGTTCCCCGGCATTTTGATTTGGGACACGAGATGCGTTCCAGGTGAGGAACGTTAGCTCTGGAAGCTCTTCCATGCCGTACTTCATAACATAATTGCAGCATCGTTTCTCATGGAAATTAACTGTATTAAACATAGCCGATTACCACGAGGGTATCGGAAACGATGTTTTCATTTGATCACGTTTTTAACTGTGTCTTTGCTGTCACGATATTAGGTTAGCCGCTCAATGTATTGTTGTATTGCTTAGCGTATTGTATTGCTCACTGTATTGTTCACTAGCGTGCTCCTCAAACCACGAAGCATCTTTTCCAAATAATTAGGTATTTTTGTTAAAATTATGACAAAGTTATGCGATATTTGAACGGGCCGGTCTCGCAGTCGTGCTGATACTTCCGCTGCCTATCGATGCAGCTTGACGTGCTTAGCAGGGGATTCATGGTATGCCTGCGACGTGTTCTCTTGAACTGTCGCCTCCATTTGGATCAGCGTGTTCTCTTGAACTGTCGCCTCCATTTGGATCAGCGTGTTCTCTTGAACTGTCGCCTCCATTTGGATCAGCGTGTTCTCTTGAACTGTCGCCTCCATTTGGATCAGCGTGTTCTCTTGAACTGTCGCCTCCATTTGGATCAGCGTGTTCTCTTGAACTGTCGCCTCCATTTGGATCAGCGTGTTCTCTTGAACTGTCGCCTCCATTTGGATCAGCTCATTCTGTCACGTCGAGGGGATGCACGAATTGCAGGCTGCACTTGGAAGGAAGAGGAATATCAGTCGATGGTCAGTTTTCCCAGCAATACAGCGTGCCACCTTACTCGGCCTTCCAGGCCAACGATTGGTTGAACATTCACCTAGAGAAGGTTCCCTCTAGAGAAGCAGAAAATGCTTCCGGTCGGTCCTTGTATATCGAACGGTCGAAGATTCTCTAGACCATTCCACTGGGTTCGTACTGTCAGGATGCTGCAAGTGAACTTAACACACACACACAACCATCTGTGAACTGAAAAATAGAACGGAAAAAGTGAGAATAATCTGAGCAACGAGCTCAAGCAGTCTGCTGAGACGTTGTGGGCGGTGCCCACAGCTCCCAATCTGAGTGACGAGCTCCAGCAGTCTGCCGAGACGTTGCGCGCGGTGCCCACAGCTCCCAATCTGAGCGACGAGCTCCAGCAGTCTGCCGAGACGTTGTGCGCGGTGCCCACAGCTGCGTGACGCGCACAGTAATGAAGAGGGCGTCTGGAAGACGTCACCGATCGGCTGGTGTAAAGAGCGTTAAAGATCTTATTATTCGCATTTATCTAAACAGAGATCCCATCGAGGTTTCACTAGCGACGCTTCCCCCAAATCAAAAAGGCCCAAGGGCAATCGACACGATTTTTTTATGTTGAATGATGTTGCGACATGCTACATGTTGAATTTTCACTTAGGATCATATCGAAACTATTGAGACCACGATGTTGAAATTCACAAGTAAAGGGTAAAAATACGCAAATAAGATACTTTCGAAGTTGTGGAAAAATACAGCAAACAATACAAAAGTTATGACGAAAAGGTGGTCACATGCTGCGTGGGCGTGGGCAAAGTGCCCGGCGTGGGCGTGGGCAAAGTGCCCGGTGTGGGGGAGGCACCCCACTTGGTATAGAGTTGACCCGGATGGCGAAACTTGTTTATGCCTTTGTATGACCCGAAAGTCGTGTGGCAGTGCCCCCCCCCCCCCCCCATTCTCGTTGTGTACGGCCGGTGCACCCGCGGGCGGGCAAGTGCTGCGGTCTGTGCTGTTTGGCGGCATTCTCCGGTGCACTGGTGCACGACACCCGCCCTCGGGACAGTCCCGGCGACGGGCGCTCTCCGGGCCCGCCGTCCGTCTCCGTCGGCCTCGGCGCCGCTTGCCGTCGACTCTGGAGCAGAGGTTCGGGCAGGCTGATCCGCTCCTTGTGCGCTTGTGCTTCGATCCATCTGTCAGATCCGCGCAGAATGTTTTGCTGCAGAAAATTGAGCTATCATTTCTGATCGAGCTTCATATGACAGGCGATTATTGTGTTGTTGCTTGATGTGACTTGTGCTGTCAGATGCCTCTCAGGCCCGAGGCACGTCATGCGATTCCTTAGAAAGCAGTCAGCGAAGGTTGCGTTGATGTATGTACCGATCGAAGTGTCTCGCGGAAGGCTAGATATAAAATGCATGTTGGACGTTAGTGTACGTGACGCTGAGGTGATGCGGGAGAATTGGCCTGATGGCATGTGTCAGTGGCACCTGGCTGGCGAACGCCAGCGATGTTAGCTTACACTAGCGATGTTAGCTTACACTAGCGTCGTTCAGGTGACGTTAACGTTGTCCAGGTGGCTTAATGGAAGTCAATCAACCCATTGGGAATGTACGACATGCCAAAATAACAGCGAAAGAGGGGTCATTTGGAAAAGGCTTCTGATCTACTGGATGTCAGCTGTACCAAAAATAAATCACGTAGAACTAGTCATCGTTTTTTTTTTAATTGAGCTGCTTTCGCAATTTGGCTTTTGCCTGTGGGCTGCTTATGTCCTCAGTGAATAGGTAAATAAGTGCCTGGACGTCTGAGGTCACGGCGTATCACATTATTCGATTGTTATTTTCTCAATGCGTGAAGTCACAAAAACACTGCGTAAACTATGTCATATAAGCACAAAGCATTCCATACTTCCATGTGCCAGTATTGCTTCCCAGCTTCCCTTTCAGTTTCATTATCTTTGAACAGATATCGCAAAAAGCTCACGTTTAGATTAGTACGTAACAAGCTGATGGTGATGTTTGAAACTACCACAGGTGTGGTGACGCAGCACCAGGTCAGGACACGCATCTGACAGCAAATACTCGCACGTGTACCTGTTGACGCGTGACTGTGTCCCAGGTGCGCTGACACGGTACCAGGTCAGGGCACGCACCCGACCTCGGCGCGGATGTACCTGTCGACGCGTGACCATGTCCCAGGTGTGCTGACACGGTACCAGGTCAGGGCACGCACCCGACCTCGTCACGGGTGTATCTGCTGACGCGTGACCATGTCCCAGGTGTGCTGACACGGTACCAGGTCAGGGCACGCACCCGACCTCGTCACGGGTGTATCTGCTGACGCGTGACCATGTCCCAGGTGTGCTGACACGGTACCAGGTCAGGGCACGCATCTGACCTCGGCGCGGGTGCGCCTGGCCGTCCTGACCCTGGGTAGTGCCGGTCTTCTGATTGTCGACCACATCCACTTTCAATACAACGGCCTGCTCCTGGGACTGCTGTTGATGAGCTATGCCTGTATGACCCAGGTGAGGCTCATGACCGGATTGTAGGGGCGCCGATTTCTCCGTGCAGTGTGTGGCGGGGCGAGGCCCGCCGCTGCCGCCCAAGGTGCACAACACGCCTCAGATGCGGCATGCTGAGCTCCCCCAGTCCGGTGTGGCGGCCTTATGCCGCCAGCGTTGAACTGCGACTTATACTTAGTTGCGATCTGTGAAAAGATCGTCGTTCCTCTTTTCCGATTACGACGTGCAGTACAGCCCAGGTGACTTTGATCCAGCTGACCCAGGTGACTGACCAGGCCCAGGTGAGTTCAAAGTGCTTTTGACTTGTTCAGCTCAGGACGCTTAATATAGGCTCGTTTTGAATACCGTCCTGTGTCCAGCTGACCGTGTGCCCATCTGTCGCGTTCAGGGCCGCTACCTGAAGTCTGCGCTGTTATTCACCGTGCTGCTGAACATGAAGCATATCTTCCTGTACTTGGCGCCGGCCTATTTCGTCTTCCTGCTGCGCAACTACTGCGTCCGAGTACCGGCCGGCGGCTGGCTGCCACGGCCGCGTCCGGCGCACACCCTCCTTCTTGGCCTGGTGGTGCTGGGCGTGTTCGCCGTCTCCCTCGGCCCGTTCGCCGCCCTCGGCCAGCTTCCCCAGGTGAGGTCAGGTCAGGTCGCGCTGGAAGCCGTCGGTCTGTCTGGTCACTCCGGCTGGCGTCGGCGGGGTGGGAGACGCACTCGAGACGCGTGCCAGTCAGTCTCGCCATTTGTGTGCTGGGCACATAACGGCTGTTGGTATGGGTTGTCGCAGTTATCCGTATGGATTGCAACCGGAAGCTGGCACGATGCCAGCGGCCCAGCACCGGATGGATAGCTGTCCCTTACGGCGTCCGTGTCTTCCTCCTTTGACTGGAGAAGTGTTCATCTTTATGTCATGTTTATTATTGTATCAGTATTATTTGTTTGATTGCAATTTCAGTCTTTATCGACCATGGAACGCCAACAAAGTCAGTAATTCATAAACGATCCTAGGAATTGCGATTTGTGAAGATGCATTTCATGCACTTCATGAGCCAGCCAGCCATAGTACAGTAGCCACGCTGCTTAATGAAAGTTGTGGTTTATGTCACTTGCCGTGGTACGCCATGAAAGGCCTAGTCTGTTTTTGTGTGTGTAAAACAGGAATGCAATTTGTTAAGAAGAGCATGGTCTGTTAGTGGTGGCAGCCAAGCGACAAACGTTCTGCAGCACGCGCCGTGTGCTCGCCTGGACCTGTGACCGCTGCCGCCAGGTGCTCTCGCGGCTGTTCCCGTTCAAGCGCGGTCTGTGCCACGCCTACTGGGCCCCCAACTTCTGGGTGCTGTACAACCTGGCCGATAAGCTGGCCGTGGCCGCCGGTGAGTAAGCGCATCGACGTTCGGGCAACTCGGGCCACGGCCGAATGCTTCTGCAACGCCGCATTCCGTGAGTGATTCGAGGCTGCCGGATGTGCACAGATGTACGGATGCGCGGTGTTTTAGTTCTCTGGCCGGGCGCCTGCATTTCTTCAAGGTATTAGATGACGCGGACCCGGGTCCAATAACTCGGGGAAATAAAAGCACGTGACGATAAAAAGATTCCATGTGCAGCTGCGATGTGCACATACAAGATCTCAAAAGGGGAGTGGAAAAGATCGCGGGAGAAAATCATTTGCGTGTGTGGCACAGCAAGAGCTTGTAAATGAGTGGTACTTGGAGGTGGGGATGCGGTTTCCTATTCAGTTGGGGGGGGGGGGCTTCAGTCCCCCCCCCCCCCTCCTTACTTAGGCTCCCCACGATTTTGAGGAGAAAGTGGGCGAACTCTGATGAGAAACATGTTTGTTGGCAGATTTGTAGGTGGGTGCGTAGGTTGTTTCATTTTTGGCTGCTCACCCCCCCCCCCCCCCCACCACCAGTTAATTTTGCGAGACCACGTCCCTGCTTGTAGGCGGATAACATAGAAGCGGCTATGTCTTGACATAAAACTGAATGAATTTAAAAATTGCAAATTGAAATGAAAATGGAAAAAGCAAGCACTGCGTTATGACAGTGAAATCTCTCCAACACATCTAAAAAGCAGCCTTTTTGGGGGTGGAACTTCTTTACCCGCCAGATCCTTGTGCACATCAACGCAGACTGTACGAAAGCGTGGCGGTATTATGCCGAAGTATCCATGTTCTTTTGTCGGGGTACTATGTGCCCCTGCTGAGCAGTTGAGTACAGCAAGGTATTTCAGCTTGTATTCTATTAGACTGCTGATATAATGCAAGCCGGATACAAAACAATCTGCCTGATTTGTGTCTTATTTGCAACCAAACGTATGTGGTCTTCATCAGACGTTCTTGAAGTCTTCTGTGTTGTTACTTAGAGGAGCCATGGACGTTCCATAAACAAATGCAAACCAATGTATGAATGGACTTTTCACGGGACTTACTTCATTCACTTATTTAGTTACAACACAATCTCTGAAAACACGTGCGCGCACGGAATAGATCCCCAATTACTGATGAGCTGGACATCAGAAATGGATTGGCCTCGACCAGTCATGCTCAGATCAGCATAACTAGCAATTAGTGTACAGCTGTTTTATACACTACTTGCCATTAAAGGAAATGTTCCATACTTGTGTGTGACTTTGCACTGAGAGCCATTTTGGATATAATTTAGTGCAATTTAAACCCTGCCTTTCATAAGAATTAAAACCCTGTAGTTCCTGACCTACACGCCCGCGAAGATGTGCAGCCCGTTTCGTACTGGTCATTCAGGCATGCATGGCACCATACAAACGTCATTGAAATGATGTCACCCCGTAAGCCACGCGGCACTCGAGGCTAGAAATAATTGTATCGTCTAACCGTTTACATCTGGTGTCTGCGAGCACGATTTCTATATAAAGTGGATATCAACTGGCTCTCAGTCAATGCCCATTCGGCTGCGCATGTTTCAATCACCAATCGCGTTTTGTGCTACGTGATATAAGAAATTGGACATGTTGGCTCGCTGTGACGAAAATAGGACGTGTAATCGAATAACCTGAGAAAAGCGTCGTAAGCGAATATGTGGATGCAAGTGAACAGCTTAAACTCACGGTTAAATATGTAAGAACACCACGAAAAATGGCCAAAACTGGAGGGTTGACGACATTTGGCTCAGCAAACATCTTCAGCATAGCCACAGCCACCTCGCGGAAGATTGAAGCACTACAAATGAGTGCCAGGGTGGTGATTTCGGACGGCTTATGTGGCAGCATCTGAACGTCGTGCAAACGTTCCATAGCGCAACCAAACAATAACTTATTTAGGATCATATTTACTCAATACATAGGCTGTGTGGCCAGCACCAATATTTCGGGTCAGAAGTATACCAATAGTTTTAAGCGAGCTTATTTCATTTTCTCATGCTTGCTTGAATATCCTTAAATGTGGATAATTTCTGTTTAAGTTGATCTGCACATGCTAGGTCAAGGCTAATACCTCTGTGACATCAGCAACCGATGTCGATTCGGCTCGCGGGACAGCTGCTGCCCGGCATTTAGCACAGCTCATGAGTGTAGCTCGCTCGCGCCGCGCGTGCATGCGTGCGTGCGCGTGTGCTTGTGCGTGTGCGTGTGCGTGTGTGTGTGCGTATGCGTGTGTGTGTGTGTGTGTGTCACGAGCCGCCGACTGACTGGGCGGTACCCGTCCCCAGCTGGCTGGCTGGGCCTACCAGTGTCGCCCGGCGTCGCCGCCATGACGGGCGGCCTGGTGCAGGAGACGTCGCACGCCCTGCTGCCGACCGTCCCCCCGACGGCCACCTTCCTGCTAAGCGGCGCCGCCATGCTGCCGGCGTTGGTGGCTTGCTGGCGGCGACCGGCCGACACAGCTGCCTTTTTGCGCGCGCTCGTCCAGTGCGCGCTAGGCTCGTTCCTGTTCGGCTGGCACGTGCACGAGAAGGCGCTGCTGCTGGCGGTGGTGCCGCTGGCGGTCCTGGCGCTGCGCTCGCAGACCGAAGCGCGCCTCTACCTGCTGCTCTCGGCTGCCGCGCACGTCTCGCTGTTTCCGCTGCTGCATGGGCCGGCAGAGACGCTGGGCAAGGTGCTGGCCGCGCTCCTGCACGCCGGGTACGCGGCGCACGCACTGCCTGCGACTGGCGCGGCACTGTCGCGCCCCCAGGCGGCCTACCTGGCTGGCCTGGCGCCGCTCGTGCTGTACCACACCGTCGGCCACCGGTTGCTTGGCCTGCATGGACGCTGGCCGTTCGTGCCACTGCTACTGACCTCGCTCTACTGCGCGCTGGGCGTGCTCTACTGCTGGTTGGCGCTCTACCGGCACATGCTGTTCCGTGCCGACGTCGGTCAGAAGGTCAAGCAGCGGTAGGCGGGTACCGTGCGGGCAACGCGGCGAGGAACAGCGACGGGTGCGCACGTCCGGGCCGATTATGGGGGGGGGGGGGGGGGGGCTATAAGTGGGGCCGGGTCTGGCAGGCGCTTGATGGGTGATGGGCTGTTCAGTGATTGTTGGTGGCACTTTTGGAGGCCGGCACTGGGGCGAATTATTGCGGCGTTTCGAGGTGACTTGTTCTGTGACCTGTGTCGTCGCGGGACTCGGCCACCGATTTGCTAATGCACGCCGTCGCCAGTGGTTCTTAAACGTTGCTGGAAACTGGGCACGAGGCAAGCACGAACTCGTCGAAAGTTGGCGGGCTCGGGGTGGGTTCATTAGTGGAATGATGCTTGCGCCGTGATAGTAGTGTAAGCTATGAAGTTGTATACCAGTCCCCGCTGTGTAGTCGGCTAGAATGCAACTATGTGCCTTACAACATGCTGAATCATATGTTCAGTGTTGGTGCGAAGTGTGTTTTGCAGTGTGTGCAGTGTGCCGCACCGAACCACGTGACCAACGTCAGACTCGATCAGTGGAGCCTGGATGGGCGTGCTCGCCTCACCCAGCGCGTCACGCTGTGCGCCGCGTTACCACGCCGGGCGAGCGCTGTCTCCCGAGCTGGAGTCGAGCAGGAGCAGAAGCAAGAGTGACGAGCAGGAGCGCTGTTCGAACTGCATGGAGTCCTGCTCCGCGATGCCACCGATGGTCGGGACATGTCGGACGCACGCTTTGTCATCACTGGTCAGCTGGTGAGAAACCCACTAGGCGAGAGCAGAGCTCACCTGTCCTACTATCTGGACGCTATTAGGCAGACTACGGGGCGCCAGTCACCTGGCCAGCGTGACTCGGCGGGATGGGGGGGGGGGGGGGGCGCATTTTGTTTGAAGCCCCGCTCACTCTCCAGCACGAAGAGTACGGCGCTGGCGATATTCCGAATCCAACGTTGACTGGAGCTTTTGGCTGCGCCCACCGCCGAGACCGTCCTGCGCCAATTTTACGAATCCTATGTGCGCAGACTGTGTGGCGAAGCTGACCTGCACGCCTGTCGGGTGAACAGTTCAGCGGAAAACGAACATGTTGGCCTGAACATCAACCAGCCAACAAAGCGAGGGGTGCTGCGCTGTTTCCGGCTGCGGTCTCTGCGTAAAAATATAAAAACTGGAGTTCTTAAGAAATCTATTGCCTACCCGGTTTTTCAGGCGTTTCCCTTACTGTACACTCCATCGGGTCTACTTCTCGTCTTGGGCTAAGCAAGTATCACAAAGATCAGTAAAATGTTATTCCCAAAACAACACACGCGACAACTAAAATGATGTGCCATGTGGCACTACACCTGGTCGGAACTATTTCGGGACAACCGTCTTATGCTACGAGATACACAAGTACCTACTGGCTGGGTGACTGGGTCATGCCCCGCCGCGCTCCAAGCCTGAGGGTGCAACATCACACACGCCAGTCACACACGCCAGACTAGCAAATCATATTGTGTCAAGAATGACTACGGCTGTAGCCGCCTGCTGAGTGCCGCCGGCTACTGACGTCCAGAACAACCGAGGAGCGTTCGGCGCCGGACCGCGCTCGCCTGGCTGCGCGCTCTCCCCCAGCGGTGCGGCGGGTCATCGGGGCGGGGCAGGCCGGCCCCCTCGTCCTCGTCCGAGTGACGTCCCCGGATGCTCGGATTGGCCGAGGACTGCTGGGCGGGCGGGCGGTGAGGCGCGCCCCTACGCGCCCACCAGCGCCTCGGCGTCGGGCGGCGCCGCTGCGGCACGGTCGGCCGCCGGAAGCGCGTGCATCTCACGCAGCATGCCGTCCCCCTCGGTGTCTGGTAGCGTGCCGTTGTCGGGGCGCGGCCCCGGCTGCTCGCCGCAGCGGTACGTGACGATGCACTGCACTGAGCACGTACAACGCGCCCGCCGTTAGCGACAGCAGACCGTATACCTGCCGGCACAAGGGGGGGGGGGGGGGGGGGGCTCAGCGGGCGGTGCTGCGGGCACGGCACGTTGGGACAATACAGTGCCACAACGTTGCAATAGCTGTTTACTAGCACGCGTTCGCAGATCAAATAGACGACACGTGCACAGAGAGCTCTTTAAGCGCCTTTAAAGACATATGCTATTCGCGATCACACATCGGCAAGTCCAAGACGCCACTCACGCGAATAAGCTTCCCACTGAAGGGAAGCCACACCCCGCTTCTGCTATCGCAAAAACCTACGGCACTCCCGCAAGAAACAAACAAGTTTCAATGAAAACATGGTACCATGCTGAGCCCCATATTTGTAACGTGGTCTTGGCATTAACACACTTCCGGGTTGCCGGCTAAATGCCCTTTACTCGGCTGGGGGTCGTCAGTTTGACCTCCCAGAGATAAAAAACTACAGCTAGAAACACAAAAGTCACGTTGGGTTGGCCTGTATGTGAACTCACAGGTTTCAAAATTTGAAGTTCATAGGTCGTAATCTTGGGGTCCGTAATCTTAAGGTCAAACTCCAGAAAAGGGTCCAAAGTGGCCCCAAACTTCTTCCTCGTGAGCACAGATATTTTCAGTGACCTTGTTTAATTTTACGAGGATCAAGTCGACCAAAAACCCACGAGATTGCTCCCATTTTGCAATTCAAATAAGCGTCAGGAATTACAATAAGCGGTATGTTCCTAAAAAAGAATGTTGACCTGGGCCATTTTTACGTCAACGATCTTCTCTGACTTTTCACAAGTCAATGGAACATGTCTGTCGCAGTCCCTATCGAGAATAAGTTCGAAAGAGCACCAGAAACTACCCCATGCAGCAAGCCATCGAGCAAAAAAGCAGCTTACCTGTCTGGCATTTCTACATGACCCTAGGTCAATGGAACTTGTAAAAATAAATTCAATTTGCTTATTGCCAACGACAACATCACAGTAGGTACATGGATTCGTCTAACACTCCGTTGTCGCATCAGAATGAACGGCTCCCTAGAAATGGCCTTCGCTGCGAGCTATGGACTGACTGGCCTGCCATGGTTCAGCGACCTCACAAGGTATATCTAATTTGTGTATACCATACGATCCGCTATCCCATTGCCCACAGCTTTGCATAGTTTGGTGCGACTTCGCAGCGCCGTTCGGAAATAATTCTGAAAGATCCTCGGGGGGGGGGGGGGGCAATCGACCCCATGTTGGAGCGCGTCTACTCATTGGGTCCAGTAGACACAAAAGCCACAAATATTTGCAATTACGCTTGTGTGCAGCATACGAGCGCTTGCCAGTCGCAAAAACGCGTAGACATACCAGACAGCACTAGTGAAAGGGACTCGTTCTTTATTCCCCAAAAAAGAAAACCGGTGACCTAATAAGCACCTGGAGCGCTACCCCGTGGGGTACTGAACTCGACCTCGTGGAGTACTCAACTCTACCGGGGATGCAATTCCAGAGATACCTGTTGGCGAGCTAAAGATGACGCGGAAAGCTTGTCAATTAAACGACAGGCCGTAAACGGTTTAACGGAGGAGCAAACTTTACACCAGTGATGATATTCGGGAGGCAAAGGGGACTGCAGAGCACGGAGAGACTGACTGGTGTGGGAAGTGAAATGGAAGCTATTCGGCAGTGGCTAACTACAACACGGGTTTCTGGTCTGCACGCCGGATGGCGAGGTGCTGCACAACATTGCCGAATACCCGTCTACGTGAACAGGTCCGACAGGCTTGGCAACATCGGAGACAATGATGACTGAGGAATGCCCTGAAAAAACTCATCAAGTCATGTCAGATATTTAAAGAATATGCTTAGTTCTGAACGGGCGCTGGCTGCTTACACGAATTTTTCTATCGTGCTATCGTGGAGTGTTGGCGAGTGAGCAGATATAAAATTACATCGTGATCAAAGTGCGACTGACCCAGCCCAGGCTGGCATCAAAAATAGGAAACGTGGATTCCAAGAGGGACACGGTAACCAGTCTAAAATGGGTTAGGCCAAACCCCATCTGAAACAGGTGGCATAACCATCATGAGGACCGCCATCAGGACAAAACCGTGTCAGTCGTCGCAGATTTCGACAGGGAGTGTCCTATCGCCCTGGTGCCACTATGCGATATATATATATATATATATATATATATATATATATATATATATATATATATATATGCGCATGAAACAGCCCACAATAGCTGGATTCCAACACATTCGCTCATTATTGTGGTAATGCTGCCACGACATGAGCAGTGCTCTATGCGTGTCATAGAGCGCCCGGGCCGACAAGTGGCATACCCGCACCGGGCCATAGCATGCCCGTTCACGAGGCGCCGGAAGTTGGCCAATCATCGGTGATGGTTAGCATGCTACCAGGGAAAGCCAAGAAGCGGTGGACAGGACGATGAAGTCAGCCTTCAAAACGCCGCACCGTCGCTGGGAGCTGCCGCCGCCAGCGCACATCTACTCTCAAGAAAGCTCCAAAAGTCAATTCAAAATATGCGGATTGCGGGACAGCTGGAGTCCTAAACCATACAATATACTCAGATCCGCGTTATCCAAGAAGCGTCACGGAACACTCACAGACTTCACTCATTGGGCCAGGGTACCACCAGCGTGCTGAAATGACTGCCAAAACACTGAACTAACTCTCCGGCTGGACGGTTCGGCTAAGCCGTCGGACTCGACAGATCCATAGCACGCAACTGCAAGCCCCGCTCTGAAATCAGGCCCCCTCCATTCATACCATTTACCTCGCGTTCGATCTGTTATCGTGATTTGCGGCCAATTTCAGGTAGCTGGCTTCTTAGCACAAACATTCAAGTAATTATTATGTGTGATGTATATGTGCCGTGGGTTGCCCAGTTCAAGTGTTGAATGTTTGCGCAAACACGTTGATGCTGATCTTAAACATTTTCAGTCGTGATTATAAACCAACCTTCTATCGGCGCACTCGTTTCATATACCATACCATGTTATTACACATCCTTAACTATACCATGATTAGATATTTGCATTACAGAGACTGTCGCCCACACAGATGTGCTGGCTCTCGCGTTGCTGGGAACTAAAAAAGCGTGAGGGAGTATCTTCCCCCCCCCGTCCTCCGGACGCGCCTTATTCTAGTAACGAACACAACTCTTGACCCGCTGGAAGTACGAATCTTAAACACTATTAAAGGTAGTACGGACACGTACCATTACAAACGCATCTTGAATTTCTGCGTTCAAAGCTGTTCATGATGATCAGTGCGTGACTGTTTTAAGATGAAGACTACCTCTACGTGGCATAGACAATGACCTGAACACCATTTGTCATCACAGTATTCCGATGCAGTTGTAGACCCGCGGAGTGCGGCGCCACATGGGCCGGTGGAGTCCAGCTTTTTACACGATCGTCACTTCACAGTGAGGAAAGGCTTCTCGGCATGTCTCACTGCATCGAGACAGCCCAGGAATAGCCCAGGCCGACTGTTGTAGACCAGCGGAGTGCGGCGTCACATGGGCCGGTGGAGCCCAGCTTTTTGCACGATCGTCACTTAACAGTGAGAAAAGGCTTCTCGGCATGCCTCGCTGCATCGAGACAGCCCGGGAATAGCCCAGGCCGACTGTTGTAGACCCGCGGAGTGCGGCGTCACATGGGCCGGTGGAGTCCAGCTTTTTACACGATCGTCACTTCACAGTGAGAAAAGGCTTCTCGGCATGCCTCACTGCATCGAGACGGCCCGGCAACAGCCCAGGCTTGCTACTTGCAGTAGGGCATCCTAAGCATTGGAATCCTCAGACTAAGGCAGGCATCCTAGCGTTCCACTGCGCACGATCATGGTGAACTATATCGCTGACGCATTGCGGACTAAGACAGATAGTTCCTTCCTTGATGATTTTTACATTTTGACATTCAGACGTCCAAGCAAGTCTGGGCCCTGGTTGACCTCGGCAGCGCCGTGTGCTCAAGTGGGCTCCAAACAAACCAAAGAGATGGGATTTAACGAACGTTTTTTTTATCGTTTCAGTGACACAAACCAAGTGAATGTCATTCTGCAGCTGGCAGTGGGCGGCCCCGTCCCTCCCGTTGTGTTGCACGAAAGAGTCGCAACACTCCCTGGCAGAGCTAGTTTCGGGATTTATTTTTGCTAAAATACGGTCATGCTCGGCACCTGGTATTTCCAAGACACGGAGTGATAACAGTCATTGCCAGGATGCCCTACGGTGCAGCATGAGAGGCATTGTTTCACCAGCAAAGAAAAGGCAATGATTCACTCATAGCCATATGAGAGTCGGGCCTTTGTGTCTACGCGTGAATAAGTACAACGCGCCTCTGGCGCAGCACACCTTCATGGTATATGCGTTGCGTCCGAGACATTCCGGCCGGCCCCATTGTCCGCGCGATGGGGCTGGCTGGGAATGGAATGGGAATGTGCTCGCTGACTGGGCTCCAACAAAGGATAATCAGGCCGCTCTTAGCATTGAATGTTGCCTCGCATCTGGCTTTCCAGAGCACTTTCTGAGAACTGGCCCTGATGAACGCGACACTCCAATTTTACACTAATAAATCTATCCACGTGCGGGTAAACAGACATCGGCAAGGCGCGCCGTCACGACCAAGGCTGCAGCTCCAGCGAGTGGCCCCATGGCAGCCAATCCACAGCAACACCAAGCTGCGGTCTTCTTGATGCTACCGATCCCCCTAAGCAGCATTTTGGCTACTCAACATCTGACAACTGAGCATACCTTTACCGATACCTTAGATGCCTGTGCTCCCGTCTCACATCAAACCCACGGCACGTGACGCTTTATACGGAAAAATAAGTAGCCTCTGTCATGGTGTCGGACTCCGCTCCGCTCAAACGCCGTGCCCACATGCAGTCGCTCTCCGCCCATACGAATGCAGACTGACGACTGACAGCAGGCACGCAGCAGATGAGCGCGCACGTCCGTGGCAGCATGAAAACCAGACGCCAGCCAATGAGAGAGAGCGCGGACGGGCGGACGCCATGCTCCGCGCGTCCAGCTGTCTCCGCCACCTCCGTACGTCAGGATACCGTGCGTCACACAGGCGGGAGCACGGTATCCTGCGGGCGGGCGGACAACGTGCTCCGCGCGTTCAGCTGTCTCCGCCACCCCCGTGCGTCAGGATACCGTGCGTCACATAGGCGGGAGCACGGTGTCCTGACGCAAGTTGCACATGCTCTTGCTGTACGTCGCCAGTTCGAAATTGGGCGACGGCCGCAACAGTCAGTGGATACTACCTCTAGACTGGCGGGCACCCGGCAATTGACGGAACAGCTGCTTTAGGCTCTGTGAAGGAATCTATCTCGGTCATCAAAAGACCTGTCTAATGGTCCTCAACGCTGGCGTACTGGCCTTACGCGCCTGGCTCACCGCTGGGTCCGCGCTATCAGAGCTGGGTAACACGATCCCGCATATGCGTCATTTCTCGGTTTAAGCTCTCGCCAGGTCACATGGTGCGGCTTATATACCGGAGCCAGAGATGTAGCAAACCACTCTTGGACGTGTCTCTGCTCCGTGCGGAGCTCGGCTCGAAGTCTCTGCTCCTCGCAGAGCTCGGCTCCTACTGCAACACCCATCATACTAACAACGGAGACGTGGACGGGCACACGGTTCATCGCAAAGATCGTTTCAACAATAAAGGACGCCACATGACCGTGGAAGTGCCCCAAGTTTAAACAACTCAATGTGGCAAGATCGCACCGTACTCAGCTGGTGGTGCTGTCGCCACAGTACAACCAGCCGGTGGTACGATGGTCACGGTACAGCATGGCGATGAAGCTGTGGCCACGGTATAATCAGCCGATGAAGCAGTGGTCACGGTACACTCAGCCCACAGAGCTGCGATGAGGTACAGCCAGCTAATGAACCATAACCTAAGCACCATCGCGTCCGACGGTGACGGCTCTTAGTGCGGCAGCTCACGCGCCGCTCAGGTTCTAACCGCTGACCTCTGCGTGTCACCCCAGACACGTCAACACCAGGCGCAGTACGCCCGCTTACTTGGTACACGCTGGCGTCAAACACCAAACCACCACTGGTGTCGTCATCGAAATTCCAATACAGGGTTGGTACAGTGCGATGTGACCAAGTAACATTATCAAAGCCTTGAGCATATTCCGCTATTTTTGCCGGATGATTTTATTGATAGCTTTCGCTAGCTGGTTTTAACCGGTACAAGCCGATTGGCAAGAACCTTCCAGTCACTTTCTGCCAACCCTGTAAATGCATCTTGATTATGTACGGCTACTGACAACTGTAAATATGAGTGGGATTGTGACCTTGAAGCACATTAACGACATTGATTATTTACGATAGATATAATTAATTTGCTACAACCACACTGCTGAAAGCACCCCTGTGCGACGAAGCAGCCAGCTGGCTGGCCGACCAGCGGCAAGGCGGGTGAAACCACAGTACCTGGAACATGCGAGCTCCGCCGACCGCGTAGTAGAGGAGCCCACCGGTGCCGCTGCCGATGGCCACCCCCACGCACTCGAACGACGCGCCCACCAGGCCTTGCAGCGTGGCCGTCATGCCTACAACACCAACGCCGGTCAAGCGCCGCCCAGTGGCGGCCGGCCGCGCCCGCAGCGCTCACGACACGAACGAGTCACGGCCAACCGGTCAGTGCCGGCTGGCGGCTAGCTCCGTTGGGTAGATCGCCTGCCTTCCGATTCACACACCCGTGGCGGGGTGAGTTCGTTTCGCTTAAGACGCTCACTCCCTGTCCCTGACTGAGGTGGCCTCCAACTGGCGGCAGCAACCGCGCTAAATGTCAGGTGGTGTCAGGTGACGTCAGAGGGCAGGACGGCCGGTACCGAGCATTACGGCACATCGAGTTTTTACCACATAATGATGTTGGTGACCGGACATTTCACGCTGGGATGGTAGGATAAGAGCTCACGCAACAAGCACGAGTTAGCGCGGGCGCTGAACACAGTGATCCGTCGGTGGCCAGACACGACGCGCGGAACGGCCAGGTGCCCGGCGCGCTGTGGCGCCATACAGCGCACGCCGTGCGGCAACCCCCGGCGACAGCAGCGGCGGCAGCGGCGGCGCGGGCCGACACCGTCCGGCCGGTGCCCACCCACCTGGCGGTGCGATCACGCCGGCGTACGCCACCATGTTGGCGTAGAACAGGCCGAACGTCAGCCCGTTCAGTAGCTCCACGGGCAACACCAGCCAGGGGTTGCGCAGCAGCGAGTACAGCAGGAAGCGCACGCCGAACGCCAGCAGCACCACCGTTTGCGTGTGAACGTGACCCAGTTTTCCAATGATCCAGCCTGGGAGAGGGACAGAGCAGTGTGAGAGAGCGATACGCTGACAATGACAATGGGTCCCACCTGCAGCGGCCGTCGACGCCCGACGTCGGAGACACGCGGGCGCCTGTGCAGTAGCGCAGCTCGGACAGTAGATGCGCACACGGCATCACCACCCCGTTATACAGTGCACGCATAGCAAAAGTCCGGGGCAGCAGTCACAATGAGCCACGCTTGTCCGCCCCCGACGTGCCTGTGGCTGAACATAGGCCGGGATTTCAGCATGTGCGATGTTTGCAAGATCCACGTAAAATTTCTGTCGAGCGCGCTTTTCAACGTTCAAGGCACTGATCGCAGACGTACTGTGCAGGCCGAGCGCGGCCACGTCAGTATTAAAACCCCATTAAGAGTGCAATAACTGCTACAAACCGCTCGTTGCTACACTAGTCACAAGATCATGACTGAGCACGATGGCACACGCTAACTGACCGCGAGACACAAAACTGAACAAGACGTCGATGGCGGATCAATACAAAGAACCAACTGGAAAACGCTGCGCACCGCAAAGGACGAGTAGTTTGCTTCTCGTCACTCGTGTAATGCGTACCTTTGAGTGTCGCTACAATTACCCGCCAGCTTTAACAGCATGCCGTATCAATTGCCAGCAATTGAACATGATATGGTCTTGGTAAACGGAAAGCGGGCACCTCGTTTTCACCGATCCTGGCACTAACACATACGAAAAAGGGACCACACATCTTCAAAGCATTCATGCCTCGGGTATCAGCGTCTATGTTCCATGTCAGTCGTGTTCATCTCGTGAGCTTCGAATGAGATATACATGCTCATGCTTCGACAGTGTTTAAGCACTACTCTTATATAATAACTCTGACCGATAATTTTAGGAACCTCCCCAGTCGTAACGAGCAGACGCCTCACCCGATATGAAGAAGAAGGGCACCTCTCCGAAGAAGCATTGCACCAGCAGGGTACCTCCGGAGATGATGCTGATCCACTCGTAAGCCGAACAATCCCACGCCAGGGCCACGTCCTGCAGATGGCTGGACGGGGACGGAACAACAGATCAACTGCAGCTGGAGTCCAGCCAAACAGTGGCTCAAAATACTGCGACGCTTGTTACTGCTTGGGTCACTGTCGTCAATCGCCCACAACACCGTCCAGTAAGAAGTACCCGAGGAAACAAACTGACACCGGCCACCGATTACGCGTCTCAAGCCTAGACCTCATCCTATTCGAATACAAGCCTCCAGGAGCGCGTCGCAAGCCCAGCATCCCGCTCTATTCAAACACATCCCTCCAGGCCCAGTGTGCATACATGGAAGCGTCTCACGTCCGAACAACGGCCGACAGTTCAGTCACAAGCCCAAGACCGCTGGCAGGCTCCCCGCACTAGAGCCAACAGTCACGCAAAAGCTCACGCCCAACTCCCTCATTCCATTCCCGCGGCTGAACCAATTAGGCATTCTGCTCACAGGAAGAAGAATGTCCAGAGGACGCCGGTCATGGTGCCGACGACGCAGCAGCTGAGCAGGAAGAGGAGGACACGTGGCCGTCGCAGCAGCGCCCCTAGTCCTGCCCGGAACTTGGGCCGCGCCTCCTTCAGAGACGACACCCGCAGCCGCGTGCACACTATGATGTTCAACACCTGGCAGCACGACCGAGAGTGGCAGCGTGACACCAGCCGCACCCGGGCCACGTGTGATATGGCTCCCAGCGGCACCCGGGCCACCTGTGATATGGCCCTCAGCCGCACCCGGGCCACCTGTGATATGGCCCTCAGCCGCACCCGGGCCACCTGTGATATGGGCCTCAGCTGCACCCGGGCCACCTGTGATATGGCCCTCAGCCGCACCCGGGCCACCAGTGATATGGCCCTCAGCCGCACCCGGGCCACGTGTGATATGGCTCTTAGCCGCACCCGGGCCACCAGTGATATGGCCCTCAGCCGCACCCGGGCCACGTGTGATATGGCCCTTAGCCGCACCCGGGCCACCTGTGATATGGCTCCCAGCGGCACCCGGGCCACCTGTGATATGGCTCCCAGCGGCACCCGGGCCACCTGTGATATGGCTCCCAGCGGCACCCGGGCCACCTGTGATATGGCCCTCAGCCGCACCCGGGCCACGTGTGATATGGCTCTTAGCCGCACCCGGGCCACCTGTGATATGGCTCCCAGCGGCATCCGGGCCACGTGTGACATGACTTCCAGGGGCACCCGGGCCACGTGTGACATGGCTTCCAGAGGCAGACGGGCCACGTGTGACATGGCTTCCAGAGGCGGACGGGCCACGTGTGACATGGCTTCCAGAGGCAGACGGGCCACGTGTGACATGGCTTCCAGAGGCAGACGGGCCACGTGTGACATGGCTTCCAGAGGCGGACGGGCCACGTGTGACATGGCTTCCAGAGGCGGACGGGCCACGTGTGACATGGCTTCCAGAGGCGGACGGGCCACGTGTGACATGGCTTCCAGAGGCGGACGGGCCACGTGTGACATGGCTTCCAGAGGCAGACGGGCCACGTGTGACATGGCTTCCAGAGGCAGACGGGCCACGTGTGACATGGCTTCCAGAGGAGGACGGGCCACGTGTGACATGGCTTCCAGAGGCGGACGGGCCACGTGCGGCATGCCAGCCAGGCGCCGGAGTACGTCTTCACTTCAGAGCAACCGTTCATGAAGCTACAAGTGTCAACGTACAAGCCAAGGATTGATGTTGGCCCGTCGTACGCAGGTCATCACCAATTACCTGGTTCGATAGGCAACACAATGTTCGAAAAGCAGGCCAAACATGAGGCATCGAAAGTCTTGATATGAAGAATGGTTATTGAGTTCAAATACCAAACCACGCTCTCCCATTGTCGGAAAAGGTGTAACGCGTCGTTTTGACATTGCCCGACAGCTTACAGAACACGACCAGGTCTTCAGGTTTTAGACCGATTGAGTCAAAATAAAAGACGCAAGATGTGCCACCAAACGCGGCATCTGCCTACCTTATCCACCGTCCCAGCCAAACTGACCCGGGGCCGTCTGGCGTCTGGCTGACACCTCCGACCACCGCCACCGCTTGCGCGCGGCCAGCACCACCCGCCGAGCGCGTCGCACGCACCATGAGTCCGACGAGCAGGTAGAAGGCGTGGGAGTAGTCCTTGGCGTGGCGGCCCGCGCTGGCCACGTCCACCAGGTAGCCAGACAGGAAGCTGAAGGCACCCCAGCCGATCGATCCCCAGACGCGCTGGTAGCCGTACCGAGCCGGATCGTCTGCGGCGTACGAGAGCGCGGCGGTCGCAGCGGCAGACGGACACACACGGCCCCGGAAAGCCACGCACATGTTCTCGGCCTCAGCACGCCAAGCCGCTCGCTCAGGCAACAGCACCTTGTGATCATCACAGGGAACCATTGGAAAACCACATCCACGTCACAAACAAGAGCAACACAATTTACTTTAATACCAGTGGTACTTGAGCTAATGACAGCCACCGACAGTGGGGCTGAGCTTCGCGTTTGCTACAGTCTGCTACTGCTCGATGTGAAGGTAGTGGAGTGGGGCCTGGCATCTACTACAGTGCTGAGCAAAGCTACAGTCAGGTTCGACCGCCCGTACCAACCGAGCAGCTTGAAGGCGATGGAGTCCGCCAGCGGCACGCTCAGCGAGGTGCCCACCCATGCCAGCACTAGGAACAAGACCATCAACCAGAACTGGCTGGTGCGATAGTAGGCGCCCGTGTCGACCGCTTTGGCGTCGAGCGTCTTCATGAGCGTCGCGTCGTCGCAGCTGAGGCGACAGCTGACTGTCTGAGCGCTGCGGCAGGTCGGACGGCTGTGAGGCCCCTCGCCACCCGACACGTTCCACACCGGCAGGAAGAGGCAGCGGCCCTCCAGGTCGGCGCCATTCAGGTCCAGCTGCAGTTGCAGCGGCGGCGGCGCCACGGACGCCGAGCGGCACCAGGCCGAGCCGCAGTCGGGCCACTGGTCGCACTGTAGCTGGCACAAGGCGGTGGCGTTGTGCGCGGCGGCCGCGAGTTGCTGGGCGTGGCAGGAGGGGTGCTGCCCAGCGCACACGCGCACGAACGTCTGGCCGCCGCAGTCCAGCTGCACATCAGCTGAGAGGGCCGACGGCGCAGCCGGCAGCGGCGGCAGAAAGTGCAGCGCCGCGTAGCCGACCGTTGTCACGGTCAGCAGCAGCAGGAACACCAGCTTGTGTCGGTGTGTGGCATCGGCCAGCCCGCCCACCAGCGGCCGCATCAGCGAAGCCAGCACGGGCAGTGCCAGGTAGATGGTGCCCACACCCACCTCTGACACACCCAGCTGGTGTGCATACACTGGCAGGAATGGCAGTATTGGTGCCACACCTGAGGGGTGATGGTGCAATGCTGGTCAGCTGAAGCATACACACATACTCAATCAGTGACAGCTAGGCGACAGACAAAAACTGCTTCCAACTGTACCAGCTATACTTACAGCTAACATGTCTGCGGAGTAACATGATCTTGTATTTCCTGAGGTATTGTATAGCAGTGCACATATCTGACACTGCACTGAACTAAGCTTTGCTCACTTTTACTGAGAAATGTGGTCAATGACACTAAGCCAAAGCAAAATAGCCACTACTATGCATACCATAAGTGGATATATATGAGTTAGAGCAACTACAGAGTAATCATTTACCACCTGCTTCAATGGCAGAAACAACATCATTCATTAACAATGTCTTCTACATCATTTGTTCACAACACCTTAGGCAAGACCATTAACAGGGGTTTCCTAGCCAATTGAAAGATCAACACAATTTGCATGTTTGTACTCACCCCCAAAAAAGAAGAAGTAGCATGCCTTCACAGGGAGTAATTTGGCATTGACTTTGAACTTCATGGCTCCAGCCTCAAATAATGTGAAGCTCAGTGCCTGAAACACCCATGGACACTTACCATCTCTTTCATTCAAGCATGACACAAATCAAATGTCAATGATGTGTAGCTACAGCATACATATATCCTAACAGCATTCACTAATACAATATAGAGCTACTAGTGGTTCCATGCACTGAATTTTCCAAAATAAACTCTAGAATAATACAATAAATGGGTTATGTTGGAAATTTGGTTTTGGCTTTTTAGGGAAAGAGAACAAACATTTCAAAACTAAGGATTGTTGTGAGAAGAGAAGCAGATGACAATACATACCAAGCACTAACTAATCTCAGTGATGGCCTAAGACCTTTGACAATTAGTAGCTTACAGCCCTGAATGCTTTGGGCCTTCTAAGCATTTCCTTCCTAATTGTATGCTCACACCATCTGCACTTTTTGAAGTTAAGACACAAAAAGCTGCTTATATCAACATTCTACTTACAAGGGTGCCTCAATTATGGGTGATAGAAACTGACACCTAAAACATTGTGCACCTGTAGCATAATACCCCAGGGCACAGCATTACCAAAGTTATGAATGAAACTCATGCAGCCCGCTCTAATAAAATGAAATCCAACATCTGGCACATGGCAGAGCAGCTACCAGCCAGCCAAAGTAGTATCTTTCTCATCTCAGATGCTGGGACAATGTGATACCCACCAGTTTCTATTGGCCTAGATACGAACTACGAACCTAATGAGCTTGCGATCAGAGGTGCGATTTTCTATTCAGTTGGATGGGACCCTAGCCGCATTACCCAGCTTTGAGAAAAAAAATTCATAAGATTCACGAAAACAACGTAATGCGCACAGTTTATCTGAATGTAATGACTTCCTGTTTACCCATTGCCCCAACTTATGTTCTCAGCCACGCCGTCTGGGACATCCAGCTGCTGTGTGATAGGGGCCTGGATGTAAATGTAACAGGGACAGAAGGATTATTTCCTCCTAAAACATCAATCCGGCCCGACATAGCTGGCATTCACACCTTTCCTGACTTGGCACGTGCGCCGTCGACAGAGCGATGAGCAACGTAACATACGTCAGTAGCAGAAAAAAACTTAAATCTAAAATTTTGTTTATTTTAAAAACACAACTAGAGCTACTTTTAAGAGTGCCCGTTTTTTGATACCGTTTTCAGACAGTTGCGTTCTTTTTTGACACTGACCCATGCCCCAAAAATAAGAAAAATGCCCCGTCCGCGACGACCGCCGCCCAACCCGAAAGTGCTTGCGCTTACGTTCGCGACACGCATCCAGCAGTCAAACCTTGCTAACAGTCAATCTTCCGAGCAGCGTACCATATGTACCGCGACATCGCTTTTGCGCTTTGGACGCGTGTAAATCAACTCATGAGTACATATACACAGAACAGTTCCTCTGCTTAAATCCACTACGAAGTGGATTTACACAGAATGTCACTCCTGTGTAAATCGACTCAGATTTGAGTCGATCTACACCACTGGCCTATACAAGTCTAAACAGCCTACTCCCATTGGCGCGGCGACCGGCCGGTTGTTCCCGTTTTGCGACACTAGCGCCACCACGCGGGGAGGGGCAAGAGTTAGCTTCGCAATGATAATCCTATGGCGCATGGCCGACCTTCGGAGGCGTGTGATTGGGAAATGATGGGAGCGAGGGCCTTGAAAATTCTGGGGCTGCTTAAGACGTCAATTTTACGCAATACGGCACAGCAAAGGTCGCTCCAAGGGCATGGGTAGCGGCTTGACAGACTGATCTAGGCATGCCGATTTTGCAATTTTGCGTCGTAGCAGAAGTGTGTGTGGGGGGGGGGGGGGGGGGGAGCAGGGTAATATCTGGTCTCAGAAGAAAACAGATGGTCCTTCTAAGACAAAAGATGCCATAGCGATAACGCTGGAAACAGTTGTTCTTAACCCTCATCCGGATGTGGTCCTTTGCAACATTCCAGCGGGCGGAGGGGCCGAGCCACTCGCATCACCCTCTCCTGGCTTGTGGCTTCGGCTTGAGATAGTCAGAAGCAAAGCCGAGCAAGATAATTGTCATGAGTGTTAGCCAACTGTATCCAGTTTTAAATGTATTCGACAGTTGGGTTCTCCCAGGTCGGATCGATGACCCAAAATCGTTGGAAAGCACGACTTTTCGCGGGCGGCACTTCGACTGACGCCAATGCCATCATTCGCATCAGCCTGTTGGGAGACGGAGGACATTCTTAAGTCGTTGTTTATGGGCGAAGTAACCGAGTTCTTCCTAGAGTTCAGGCCATGGTTATCCCTTTGTATGCACTGCATGCATGCTGTTCACCTGCGTGAGAGAATAGGTCTGTCCCCATCCACACTCAGATAAGACCACAGCTCATGTCTCGGTTCGGTACGTTACAAGAATACAAGCTATGTCCAGCACCATCGGCTCGGTACTCCTGCGAGCTGTGTAGGCACCGATATATGCGCATAGTGTATCATGTTATTCCGAATATGCACGCCGTGCTATTGACGTTAACGCACAGGACTTACGCGTCGACATCCATTACAGCCCCAAAACTACGCATAGTATATTATGTTGTTCAGAGTATGTACACCGTACAACAATGCTAATGCACAAGACTTGCGTGTCCACGTACCTTACAGCCCCAAAACTACGTAACTGGTGAATCTACTTGCGGTCACCAGCAAATATATTTACTGATGTATTTGACTACTGGTGTGCAAAGAGCACCTGCTTGTACAGGTTGTGCCTCACATGGGTACGGAGCATTCCACTCACTGCAGCATTTTGTCCATAGGCGTGGAGGCGGACACGCAGATACCTGGCCACGATCCGTTTTACCATTACCACAGCATGGCACTCATCCGCTCGCGGCTCGAACATGTCTTGCACATCGGGGAACAGTTCGTGGCTGCATTCAGTCATTAGCTGCGCCAGGACACTGCACTGGATACTCAGTGACAGTTTCGCTCGGTCCATCTTACCACACTTATGCAAAGCGGTCAAATGCCGCTCAGCTGCCGTAACGATCGCGTACGTCGACGCTGACGCGATGAGCAGCCCGCCGTTGTCCCGCACTTTAACGAGACCCATCACCTCATGCGACGGAGGGTCGTCCTCGTTGCACAGAAGTGCACCAATGCACTCGCCACACCCGATCGCGCCCGTTTCCACCAGCTTGAGGTACACATAGCCGGAAATGTGGCCAACACAGTTGTCAACGAACCCCGAGCCGGTGTCCTCCGTCGTGAGGAGATGCTGCACGACCGCCGGCATGGGGCCACTCTCGCTGAGCGTCGGCCGCTGCCGTTTTGGACGACGGATCTGAAACAGGTCGTCGTCACCGTCATCCCGTGACGTGCAGCTCCCGGTGGCAGATGGCGATATGAAGTTGTGCAGTATGAGTCTGCGCATGGCATGTTGCAGTTGGGCCACGTTTGGGTTGTTGTTAAAGCCGCCCATACGTCGGATCCGGCCGAACAGCAGCTCTAGATGGTCTTGGGACATCCTGTATGGCAGTACATAGATGAACCCCTCCTCCAGCAGTACATAGACGAACCCCTCCTCCTCCTCTAGCCTCACTGACGTCCATGACGGTCTGCGTCGCGAGACAGAGACCCGGGACCGGGGTGAAGCGTCCCATCTGCAGTACCGGTTCGCCTGATGCTGTCTGCAGCCGGAACAGCACGGAACTGAAGTCGGCCAGAAACTCACGTCGGAGCCTAACGGAAATGATTATCGGTCAGAACACTCAAAAAGGAATAACAGCGACATCTATAGCCTTTACTGAGGCAATTGGTCGTCCACACACCGCCCTCACAACATAATGTTCACAATGAATTGCTGATAACCAGAGGTCCCCCAGTCATTCCATTTTGTTTGCGGGGGAGCGGGCAGTCCACGCGTTCTTGACCGGCGACCGGTGGGGATTGCCCATACATGCCTGAATGGCCAATTTCACCTGGTGATTGGAAGGTGGGGGATGGGGTGGGGGTGGGGGAGCATAAGACATAAGTGGCCAGCTGTAGGGAAATAATGCATACTTTTGCCCCACATTTCACTTTGGGACATTTTGCTCGTATCACTTGATCTGCCTATGGGGATAACAGGCGATCAAACGCAAAAGCACATCACGCCATATGCCAATGCCATTTTCAAAGAACATTTCACTAGCATGATTGTTGATGCTGTGTATGTGATGGCTGGTATTTGGCAATCCCAATATATTTCCTTAGGGGAAAGAAAACACACACTTTTGATTTATCAGGTTGTTCTTAATGTTAATTACTTTAACTTACATCAAGTTGTTGGCAGTTACAGGAGTCTTGAAGCCCTTCCCATAGGGGTTGCTGCTGTTGAGGTAGTCGAATGTCTGATCAACAAGCAGGATGACGTACGCCGTTACCCCCGCTCCGATGAACTCATGGTGGCCCGACTCTTCTAGGTACAGCAGAGCTTTGCCCACCGAGCTGCTGAACAGCTGGGCAGCAATCTTAACTTTCATTTTGTTCTTTTCGTACTGGCCGTGCAGGCGAGAGAGTTGTTGGCCGCCCGGATACCCTCGCTGTGCTGCAGGTCGTACAGCGCCTGTGAAGGTATCCACAATCGTTATTTTACCTTGGCTGCAGAATGCTGAAAACGAGCTGAACAGGTTCAGTCATTAGTGCAAGAGTATCGCCGTGCTCTCAGATTAAGTTAAGTCTCTCTCAAGTCTCTACCCATGCATCTAGACGCGAACTACACAGATGATGGGATAGATGTATGCAGAAAAACAGAGTGATACTTAAGTAAAAAGTAGTCTTTTAGCATTATACTTGGTTTTGCTGGGACTGAATTACCACTAAATCATTTACTACTAAATCATTACTACTACTATTAAATTTGGCATACTCTTACCTGAATATACTTCCAGGATGCCTCTTCACCATCCAGTTGAAGGCTCTTGTATTCACCAAGGAGGCCTTGCAGCAGTTTCAGCACGTGCACCACATCCAGCAGAACATACACCTGCTGGTTGGTTGCAGGATGCAGGAAGTAGTTAGGAACAATGGGAAACTGAAGTTGTTTTGGCTGCAGGTTCTGAACACCCAAGTGGCTGAACATGGACAGGTTGGCTTGGAGTCCATCAGCCACGAACGCTCGCACCTTCAGTCCTGCATCACTCAAAGCACACAGGACAGTCTTGGCCAGTTCTGTCCGAGTCTCACTTGAAATGTGGTCTGTGAGAAAGTAGGCGACAGGATGGCGCCACACACCTTTGAGACCAACGGCCATGAACACTAGGGCATTTGTTGCCAGTCTTGTGTCCTCCACGTCCCCTGCACTCGGAGCAACATGACCAACGAATTTGTCTTTGGGTTGCGAGTACACCTTCGCCTTCCGGATCGCCGTCTCATCAACCATCAAGCAGCAGTTGGGGTCGATTTTCTTGGCTGTCACTTCACAGCACAGCATCTGTAGCATTTCGTGGAGGACGCCCACCTAACAGCTGACGCTTCTCGTCCACTCTCGTAGCGATGTTGCACCCGGCGGAGAGAAGTTCTTTGAGAGGAACCTATATGCTCTCGGGGAATAGTAGTGGAAGGTGGGGCAGAGCTTCTTGATTTCTTCCGAATACCTCTGGCCACTTCGCTTCTTCCTGCCACCATTGACAGCTCCGTTGGTGAAAAGCGCTGACACCATTGGGTTCTCAAATCGAGATCAGATCACCTCGAGAAGCTCGGCATCGACGATCCGGCTTTCTTTGAGGGCATCCAGGGTACTTTTGAGGCACTTGAACCGCCTGTCGCGCCTCTGCAGCTTCTGTCGCAGCTCCTTCTGCTCGTAGCGCAATTTTCGAACCCTTGCAGCCATCTTTTTCAGCGGACTGGAAATGTGTCGAGTCATTGCACTTGCACTCTAGCTATGCTCTGAGCCACCTGGGTGGTGTTGGAGCTTCACTGGGGTGTCCTGTGGCAGTTGCTGCTCTGGTGCAAGCTGAAACTGTTGCAGCTTTGAGGCAGGCTGTAGCAGTGCCTCCTCTGGAGCTGGCTGCAGCAGCACGTCCTCTGGGGCAGGCTGCACCTGTGCCTCCTCTGGAGAGGGCTGGTGTAACTGCCCGAGAAGCCAGCGCCTGACATGCTTGGCTTGGGTGGAGTTGTGCATGGGCTGACAGGCTTTTGGGGATTTTTCGTGCCACTGGTTTTGTCTGCTCGGGGAACATGAACCATGATGGGATGCTTCCCTCACGCAGCATTCTGCGTTCAAGGTATGGTTCAAAATCAGCCTCCATGAAGTGATCACTGCATATAAGTGCACTCTGAGAGAGCTTCCTTG